CCAGTAATGCCGCAAATCTGTACACCACAATGCCCTCAGCGGTTTTCCCCTCGTAGTTTTATTAACCAAATATCTGGCTTTCACCATGTCGCCTAAACTAAATAATTAATAGAAATTCCGATAAAGAATATATATTTAAAATTGGAAATTAAAGGATTTTAATGTTTAACTAAACGTATTGCACTGTCCACGATTTCGCACAATGATTTACTCGCTAAATCTCGCTTCCTTTTAGATTCGTTATTGCTGCTTGGCAACATCTGGATCCGCGGAAATGGCGCCTCTTCCGCTTTTTCCTCGCCTTTTTCCGGTGTATATATACTTTCTCAAATTAAGCCAGAAACAGCCCGTTTGGACAGGGTAAATTGTATCATCTCTACCCTTTCTTCTCCTTCAATCCATGCAAAAAAATTCAGCCTTTATTCGTAGCATTATTGCGTATATAGAATATATTTTAACAATATTTCGATGTACGCATCATATTTTCTGGGGTGCGTATGTGTGTCTTTGTTCTATAATCCGAAAGAGAAACATTTTAACAACTTTCAAACTAAATAAACCATCAAAAGACATGCCCAAGGCACGACATATAAATTGATAAATTATAATTAAACAATTACAGAGAAAATGAGCCTCGCAACAACTACTTGGTATAAAAATCCTGCCAAAGAGAGCATTATTATATGATATTTATTGCCGCAGCAGTCGCCGCCGCTGCATTTATCGTGAGAAGCGATTTTGATTGACGTTTTACTCAATAAACGAATTATGCTTAATCGACTTATCGCGAATCTAAATCCGACGAGACATTTACATTTAGGAGTTGCTGTTTCCCGCGTTTTACCCTACCCCCGAATTCTTTTCCCCTCAGGTATTTCACCTAGGTACTTACTCGGGAACAACTCCGTCTAGAATTGTTCGCCTATGTACCGCTTTTCCTTTTCGTCGGCACTCGGGTAAGCAAAAGTTTCAGGTACGGGAAATCACAGTACATCCCGTGAAAGTTCTTTAAACAGTCAGACGCCACTGACGGCTCTCCTAACGAAGAGCTCAGAAGATGGATGGTGGCGGATCTCTGAAGCTCTTGTCTGCCAACAGGATTTGCTGGTTCCCGAGGATCTCCGAACTCAACGGATTCCGCTTCAACTTGCGTGTAATTTTGAAATCCGCCGTGCGAATATGCGATCGCCGCAATTTTCCGCGGGTTTTCCCTCTTCGCGAAAAATTTTTTAAGAACAAGAGACACGAGAGACGAGCAAAATTTTGACCTCGGGGTGGATGATACGTGAACGCCGTCAGGATTGTCGGTAGCAACTTTAATTGCTTCTCATTGTTGTCAGAAAGCACCCGATAATTTACAAACAGGTCTCTCTACCTCTTCCTCGCAAACGAGATTAAATTGACCATCATATAATGCCGCGCGAGATTAATAAGTTTTATATTACGTACATCTCTCGAGGCAATTTTCACGACGGTTTATAAGCAAGGCTCGCCGAGAAGAGTGCACCGGGAAAGTTGCCCGGGATCTCCCAGAAAAGTCACCGTAGCGCGATACGAGAAACTTTCGTAGTCACGCACTACGGATGGCTCCTAAGTTCTAACGAAGAGGAAGCCGTCGCGAGGCACACGTGCAGGAAAATGAGGGCTCGCTTATATAAGTGTGTTCGCCGGAGTGTCTCGAAAATTAAATTTTTGACAAAATATAAACAGCGCCGGCGACATAAATAAATAGTACATAATATCTGTACTGTAGCAATTAGAAAGATAATGATGAAAATAAATGGCAATTAACAGCCTGAATGATTTAACGAGTAAGGCCCGACGTTTTCGCTTGACTTTAATCTCGGCTTAATTCACGTTTGTCTCGTTCTAAAGTAACAGTTGGAAAGAGACAGAGAACGAATTAAGCTAGGCTTGAAGTTGAACAACGTCGGTGAGACCGGACCTAAGAATGAATTTTAAAGAAGAATATTTTCTTATGCTCTATGGTATACATACAATCCTAAAGTCCATCGGTGGATCATCGCTGAAAAGCAGTGAATAATGGCGAGATCGCAGTAGTGTACTTATAATTCTCTCTGTGATCACTGAGTGACTTTAACAGAGTAACTGCGGCGTTAAATCGGTCTTAAAACGGTCGCAACAAAAACTCCCCCCCACTGGTCGCGAGCGCGATTGAAAGTCCTGGCAGTGATTCAAAGCCAGTCTGCGGGAAAGTAAAATATTATCGCAAAGTACATATTGCGGTGGCAAGTCGCAATTTTAACTAATCGTCCGTCGAGAAAACTAAATTTAACGAAACATATAAGCGACTTTGTACGCGAGGTAAAGAATGATATATATTTGATGTGAGCAGGTGCACATCAATACGGGCGTGCGCCAAAAGGTATTGAGAAACGATCATCTAAATTATAACAAATCTAGTGATCGTGACAGGTTATATCATAGCGCGATATGGATATCTAGCTTTTACAATTATACCTACGTATGATTTATATAACTAGCGCGCGAAGATAGAGATTCTGTTTGCACATATCGGTATCTATTGACAGTACGATGGATGATTCAATGCAATCTAGATTCACGCGTTCATCGCTCGCTTCGATCACTTTTATGCTTAACCTCGCACCCGAGAGCTCGTTTTATATAGAGATTTTTTTTTGGTGATCGATTGACAGGCCGAAAGCTGATAAGAGGATACGCGATAATTAAAATATAGAAACCGTAACGCAATCTCCGTACCGTGAAATAATTTCGACTTTCCGTTGAATGCAATCTGTTCCTGCGATATCGGCTGTTCCTCCATTTACGCATATAAATCCATATTTATGTGTTATTTCTAGCCAATAGTAAATTTCCAAGTCAAAACCGAAAGGAAACAAGAATAGAATAATTCATGACAACTACAACTTAACGCGGTAACAA